GTTTTTCCAACTAAACTCAAAACATCCCTATTCTCATGCCTTCCATTCTACCATCTGGAGATACCTTTCACACCTCTTTATTGGTTGAAGTTGCCTGGGGTCCTTCTTGGACTTCTCGTATTCCAAACCAACTCAGGTTTGTCACCCCTGATCAGGTAGGTTACTTCTGATCAACTAAAACCACAATGTCTCGAAACCCAGCTGTCTGCTAAACTAAGTTCACTCCATGAAAAAAAACATAGCTATGGGCGGTTCCCCTTCTCCTACAGTCTCCTGGGAGTCCAATCTGATAGACATCACTCATCGTCACATCAGGTCACTCTCAGGCAAAAGGACCCTTTGGCTGAGAAGAAAACTATAGATTCCCAATCCAAAGCACAGGGTGCTAAGAACTTTCTTTATTCTCAACTCCAAACCACAGACTGCAACCAAATCAATTTATCCCATTCCCAGTGTCCTTTTTGTACTTCCTGTCTTTATCTCATGGCTCTTTCCTAATTGCCTCTTACTTCTTAAAGGGATATCCTACAAAAATCGTGTTTTTAAAGAAAACAGGAAGGGAATCGAGAGAAACCCAAACAGGACACAGCAGCGGATTCAAAACACCAAAAAAGTATCTCAATATTATAATAGTAAGAGAAACAGGAGTGTGATTTGATCCATTTAACCTAATCTGCGCCAAGTCTCTGATAATTACATTTCCTCCCTCTTCCCATACACAGTGCAATAATATCTAATATGAACCAAACATTCTGGACTCTCTTTTCACAACTTTAGCTTCAATGATAAGGTTTGCCTCTTTTGTTTTGGTCAGCTGGGTGTCTGACACATACAGAAACCCAAAGCCATGCTTAACAGCATCCAAGTCAAATAGAGTTCCATGCATCCCGCCTAAACATGTAAATTCCTGAGATATTTGTTGGGATGGAATGTGCATTCTCTCTCTGGAGGGATGCAGCTTGCTTATCTAATTCCAGAAAGTATTAGGAGCAAGTTGGCAAAAACCAAGGCTTCGGGACCCTTCTTATCCCTCTGCAAATCAATCAAGGTGGATTCCAGGCACTGGACATCCGAACGTGGATTCACGAACTTGCACTCCAGGTAATGCCTTCCAGCAGCTGTCATCCAAGCCTCAGCATTTTCTCATCAGCTATCTGGCAGGTATCTGCTTTCAGTGTGATGCGAAGACCTTTACAGGACAACTTGTGACAGGCTGGCTACCTTGATGTTCTCGAGGTCCAAGTCCAATGCTGCGTAGCAGGGTTACTCAGCACCAGTTGCTTAATCAGACCCTCATGTCAGAGGCCTTGGCAAATAGACGTGCCCGCTGTGAAGGTGCTCCAGAGTGCTCAGCGACGGATCAGTGCAGGCCGGTGGCCTCTCTCCCTGCAGCCTCTTCCAATGTTTCCCACAAATCCACCTGACTGCTTGACCCTGGACTTTGCAAATGAGCCGGAGGGAGCTTGGATCCATAAAGGACTGTTTGCACACGGGTCTTATCTGCTGCAAGCTTCACCTGCATCGCGACCTCACTTTCTTTGAAAAGAGATGAGCACAACTAGATTACCCCTTGTTCATTTCTCAGTGCAGTCAGAACAGTATCCACGAGTTACCAATATGGATCAACAATTGATCACATAACTGGCCCTTAAAGAAATAGGTGGGCTAATTTATCTTTTCTAAAAGCATTTTCAAATGTTGTCATTCAAATGTTTTAAAACATTTTAAAAGATCGGAAAAGGACCTGTGATACTTCACCTTGAAATGTGTCAATCTGCTTCAGTTCTCGACAAGGAACCACTTTTATTCAGAGGAAGAATCTGGAGAAAAAGCTACTCTGTAAACTTTAAAGCGGTTGGATCCATTTATTTGAAGCAGTTATTTTCGTACCAAAATGACAGAAAAGCGAACAAGCTAAACGTTATTTGTTTCCTTCGCTCGCTCCTTTCCCCTTCTCTCATCTCCACCAGTGAGAGAACATGGCTTATGCCAGTATTGTAGCCAGCAGCTAAAATGAGGAGTATTAGAGCTGGTAAAAATCCTCAGCTGTTTCTTGTTCAATCAAGAGAAGTCTCTACTCCATGGCAGAGCTGTGTGAGTGAAAAAAAGATTGACACATTTGACATATAAGACTGTCCCTTCCCAATGGATTTGATAGCATTCCACAGTCACACTCTGGAGGAAGGTGTTCTTTAGTGACCAAGAAAGAGAAGATACTCGATCTTTTGCGGAAAATGAAAGCCACAAAGATACACAACAATGACATTAAAGTGCAAGGGGCAGTTTCAGACGAGCACCTTTAAATATAAATCTAATACATAAGAAAATATTGATTTCTATGCAGAAGAACTGGAAAATGGAATAAAACGTAGAGAGATATGGAGAAAGAATTGGAAATAGAATTAACAGAAAGGTAGTTTAGCAACTCAGGTAGCTGTGGCACATGCTCAAAGTGTTGAAAATTTCTGTTTCTCCTGAAGGCGGCATCATGCCCTCGCAGTACAAACAACACACACATGCAACCACCTGCTGCCCCATCCAACAGTCATTATTGATAGATGGGTCCTGCGAGGAAATCAGTCGAGCATAACCCTGTCTGTGCTCAGTGACACGTGTACCAGCAGAATTCAGTGGAGAAAAATTTGAATTTGGTATTGGAACCAGCTTTTCCCATTTTTATATTTTTTTCAATTTTTATAATTAGGAGTTGAGGTATAGATCAGCTATGATCTAATAAAATGGTGGAACAGGATCGAGGGGCTGAATATATATATATAATAGTTTTAGAATCCTGAGTACATAACAACAAAATTACATTTGTATAGCACCTTTCACGTCAGGAGGACGTCCCAAGGCGCTATACGGTGAGCGCTGTGCTGAAGGGCTCTGAAACATTAATTATCACACCAGTGTCAAACCTCCGAATTCAGTCACAAGTGGACATAACCTTAAAATTAGTACAAAAGCAGCTTCCGAACAAGATAGGGAAGAATTTCTTCTTAAAGAATCTGGCACAAGCTGCCCCAAAGTCAGAGAATTGTGGATTTAAAATAGAGATTGATAAGTTACTCAGAAAATAAAAACTTAATATAACAGAAAGGCATGAAGGTGGTATCCAGTAAGATTATTGTAAACAGCCCACGGAATGATCTACGGCAGAGGTTTGATGGACAGAAAGCCCTTCTCTCATTGCTAATTTTCTACCATGCAGGACTGTCTTACCAGAGATTTAAACCGAGATGAACGTCCACAGGATGCGATCATTTCTGCGCTGCTGGAGCGAGGGGTGGGATGGGGACGAAGACACGGGTTGTCCACTCAAGAGAAGTCAATTAGGGTTGAATAGTAAAGATGAGTGTTGTCAGTTTATGCTCAATAACATTTTGGAATCAGGGAATATCTATACAGAAAGGCCACCACCAGGCAGATTGGGCGGGTTCAATGATAGGGCTCGAGTGAAATACTTGTTTGTTGGGCTGAATGGTCTTTACCCATCCAAAGGCCGTTTGTCCTCTTCTTCCTCGACTCATCTCTTTCAATCTGCACTCTTACTGTGGTGGGGGGTTACAGAACATGTACAGATTTCCGTGACTCAATCTCCTCATCCAATTCTTCAAAAGGGGAAAGTGCATATTTCATTACAAATAAAAATAATCCTCGCATTCAAAGGCCAAATATGGGCCAAAAAATGTGGTGCAAATGAACTGAGGGATGATACACAGAATGTTTCAGCCAAAAGTCGCTTTTCTCAATTCCCCAACTATATACAAGGAGGTGTTTGTTAATGTGGCGCGATCAATTATGCTTCTCAATTTATGAGGAAGTGCATTTCTCTCTCGGACAAGACACTCAGCAGATTTCTTGGCATTGTCAGCAAGTTATTAGGCTAATTATTGCGATTGACCTAGATCAGTAAACATCCCAATGAAAATAAACATCTTGCACACTACCAGAATATTTTTTTACAATAATAATCCTTACATTCAGTCTATCGTCTTTCATATTAGGAGGACATCCCAAAGCGCTTTGCAGGATATATTGTAAAGTGCAGTGACTGTGTGTTTTGAAACAAACACGAGAGCCATTTTGTGCACAGCCACGTCTCACAAACAGCTATGGGGTGAATGATCGATGTGAAAAAAATTAATTAGGAAACAAATTGCAAATGTAGCATATTGGATCGTCTTTCATATTAGGAGGACATCCCAAAGCGCTTTGCAGGATATACTGTAGAGTGCAGTGACTGTGTGTTTTGAAACAAACACGAGAGCCATTTTGTGCACAGCCACGTCTCACAAACAGCTATGGGGTGAATGATCGATGTGAAAAAAATTAATTAGGAAACAAATTGCAAATGTAGCATATTGGAGACAAGAACTTAAAGGAGTAACTTTTATGAAACATTTGGGGGAACCATTTTAGCAAAACGTATGGCAAATTTTTTTAATGACATCTGTGTTTACACGATATGAATACTCAAGTGAACATTTTTGGGAAAGTGAGAAAGAAGGAATCGAGACTTTTTTAAAACCAAACTTTTGAATATATTTGCGTTTCAAGTTTAGCTTGATTACAATACACTTTAATGCTGAGAAGTTAACCTACTTACCTGACATTGTAAAGTATGTATATGCCCGTTGCACAGCGCGGATTGTCCGGTTTTGCATTTTAACATGTTTACATCACGTTACTACACGCAGAGTTTAATTCTAGTGGTGCACAAGATTGCTTGGAAGGTTTTGCAGAACATGCATTCCCTGGAAAGACTATTGCTCATTTAAAGGTGTCATACAATTCACCCACAATTACAGAGTGATCACAGGCTGCTTTTACCAATATATATATATATATGTATGTATTTATAACGCAATCATTTGAATCACAGAATACTTTTCTGACACATTGATAAAGTAAGGTTAAGTATGCAATATGTAACATTCAGATTCACCTTTTAATTTAACAGTCTTCAGATTGGATACAGCAACAATGTAGTGCACATGCTTGTTTATCAATCATCTTTTATTCGTGTTGAATTTTCATTACGTACAAGGAGTATTTAGTCTCTGCCGTAAAGGGCGCTTACGATCCAATGAACATTAGCATTCCAGTTGGTAATCTAGTGCAGATATTCCAAACCTTTCACGAGCCGGCTCCTCCGGTTACTCGAGAAATCATGGGTCTCGAGTGACAGGAGTTAACAACGAGACACAAATGGTGAACACTCTGATCAACGTCCTCAGTTTTCGGTTGCTCCTCAATTAGTTTTTCTGCCCTCCCCCTCCCCTATATAACCCTTCTGAACATTGTAGCACTTAAGTCAAAAAATACAGAAATATATTTTTGTATCCACAATAAAATCCACGGATCTTAGAATACAGAATAGTCTTGCTTCCACAGCATATTCAATATTTCTACTGCAACAGACAATCTTTGTAGCAGTATTAAACTAGAAACCCTTCCCAGTGTTTTACTGACGTGCTTAGTGCATGCATTTAGGCTCTATATAGTTCAGGAAGCACAATGAAGCTGCACAAGATCTTGAAATAAGGGTAAGTGCCAACGTCTGAACAAACATGCACCATATGGTGGTGGGGGAGGAGGGGGGGTGCGGGAGTGGGGTTAATTGGATGGGGGTAAGAAATGGGAGAAATTAAAGCATGGTATGGAGTTCCCCAGATAACACCTTATTCACATCAAAAGGAATGAGTATTTCTAACAGGGAGCTACTGTGACAAAATAAAACTAAAATGGAATAAAGGCAAAGTCCTATTTTTTTAAAAAAAAACTAGAAATCTGATCATGAGGACAAGATCACTTGAAACCTAAAAAGATGTCACTTAAATAATACACATCCTGGCTGAAATAAGGCATGGATCTTGTCACAAACATTAAAAAAAATTAGCATGTAGAGTGTCACACCAGGTAAATTATTAGATCAATTTTTACAATCCTTTCGTCTACGAGCTGCCTCAGCCATGACTGTGGCAGATAACCGTTACAACCGATGTCACCAGTGTGCCCCGGCCGCTAAGCTTCAGCTGGGATACAAGGCGGACCTTGTCTCAATGCACTTTTTGTTGCCCTGTTTGGATGAAGGCAGCGAGAAAAAAAACCTCAAAGAGTAGACCCCTCTTGTCCTAGCTCGCAAAGCATCACCACAAAGTGAAGATACCGAAAAACCATAATGCCTGACATAACGAATATGTACATTCTCTACACCAATACGTCATTTGCATTTTAAATTGATGTAACTGTACACTGAAATGCCAATTTGCTGCACTTCTTCTTGGGGTGCACCCTACATCACAGGATGATTTCAACGTAATTGGCGGGATACAAGCCCACTTGCCCGCTGTCCAGACGTCCCTTACACCAGCCCTGCTCGTCTTCATCTTCTATCTTCGTCAGTTCGTCCCCTGTCATTGAAAAGACCCAGAATGTTTAGTTGGGATCAGGATAATAATTGTCTTCACATGTGGTAAGTCAAGAGGACGTGCCAAAGCAGTTCACGGGATTTACTGAAAGGGTTTTTATTGTGCATTTTGGGAGTGAAGTAAGTCTTCAGTTGAATGGAAAAACCAAAAAAAAAACACTCTTCAATCTACGGCATACTCACATAAAGGGTCCAATTTGTTAACTAGTCTCCTTGATAAAGAATCAAGAATGCAAAAATAGGGACTTCTGAAATGCGCCGTACCGATTGATCCACAGGAATCTTGGAAAGCACTATTATTTGAACGGAAAGAAATTAATATGTATGGAAATCAAAAAGGACCTGGGGGTCCTGATTGACAATAAATTGAAGCTCTTCCAACAATGCTCTGTGGCAGTGAGTAAAGCAAACCAGATGTTGGGATGTATCAAAAGATCAATAGCAAAGTGGGGTAATCCTGCCACTGTATAAATCATTAGTGAGACCATACCCTTAAGAGTCCTGTGTACAGTTTTGGTCGCCGCAGTACAAAAATAATATTGGAGAAATCGAGAAGATACAGAGGAGGGCAACCAAAATGATTGAGGGAATGGAAGGATTGGACTATGAGGAGGAACTAAGTAAATTGGGCATGTTCACGCTGGAAAAGAGAAGATTGAGAGGCGACATGATTGCTGTCTTTTAAGATTCTAGAGGGGCAAAACAATATAGATCATGACAGTCTGTTTCAACTTGTCCAGAATAGTAAAACCAGAGGACACGGCCTGCGATTGAAGGAGGTAAATTCAGAACAAATCTACACAAACAATATTTCAGTGAGCGAATAGTGAACCTATGGAACAGGCTCACTAGGGAGATGTTTGAAGCAGGAAGTGTTGATTCTTTCAAACACAGATTAGCTAGTTTTTTAGGAAGTAACATTATGGGATAAAATACATAGGTAGTTTGGGACATATGTGCATGTGACCGCCAGAAAGGTGGAAAAGGCGAACTAGGTAGTTTTTCGTCTAGAATTTCTTATGTTCTTATGTTATGTGAATCCCTCTAAACATACTGCACTTTAGACCACAATATCTTTATGATTTAAAAAAGCAATCGTCTGAAGGTACATCCATAGCACCCAATAACTTGCTCAGGACACTCATCAGTTCGTTCGTCACCTCCAGACTCACCTTTTCAAAAACCCTCCTGGCTAGGCTCCCGAGCTCCACTGTCCAGCCCACCTCCGCTACCCACCAGCCACAACTCATCTAGACCTCTACTTCCTTTAAACTTACCCACACTAAACTTCGCCTGCTCTACACCCCCGTCTTCGCCAGGCTCCACTGTGTCCGACGCTCACAGCAATAGATCGACTTCAAGATCCACATCCTCACCTAAAAATCTCTTTACACCCTCAAACCTCCCAACAAAGAATCACACAGCATCTTCAGCACAACACAAGGACAATTCGTCCCAATTAGTATGTACTACATGAGGCTCCGCTCATCCTGATCCCCTCTGTTCTCTTCTTCGTGTGTATAACCTTTGCCATCTTATTCAACTTCAGTATTCTGCTTGTTATTCCACTCAGCAAACTCTCTGGAACCCCCAACCCTGTACCCTTCCATCATTCTCCTTCTCTGTCTGTTTCCAAACTCAGTCTAAAATGTGAGCTGGTTGACTGTGACTCAAGTCTCCTCCCTTCCCTCTTGCCTACAGCAATGTCCACCACTGTCTACAAAGCACTCCGTGAAAGGTTACACAAATGAAAGTTAGTATTTTTTGGAAACATGAACACTCACCTGCTTTGAAACTAAGCTCATCGTGTTCTTGCCCTTCGTAATCATACAGTGCTCGCACTCGGACCTCCAAGCCTGTTGGGTGGTCCTCATCGAAAGGATTATTATCCCCATTTGTATCGTTGGTGTTGAAGGGATTGTTGGTCTCGTCGTCTGACCATTCCGTGTAGTTTTGGTTCTTTTCATAGCTGCTAACACTGTTAGCAAAACAATAAAAGATGTTAGCGAACTCCATGACCCAACTATTAAGCATTCTCAAGGCTGTCGAAGGTACAATGTCAAAATTCCCTTCAGGGCAAGTTTTAAAAAACAAAATTAGCCTGTCTGCCGATCGATTAAAAATCCTGAACTGACTTGAAATTAATACTGATCTCTGGTTCACATCAGCTCTGGGTAGAGTGGTTCACATACACATGAGGTGGCCATTATCTGCAATATTCTCAGCTAAGTATCAAAGGAATTGTACAATCCAACTCGGACCAAGTATAAAGACGATAATGGAACTCAGCGAGATCCAACACGCTTAAATACGCTTTTGTGATTTATACAACGTTACCCTCATGTATCCTTTTGGTTAAAGTGCTAAATATTCTGGTTAAAGGATAGATGGCCCAGCCAATTGTATTATTGGCCTTTGGAGTCACTGATCCTGACAAAGTGAGCAGGCCAGATCAACGGATAGGAAGCGTTGCAGTTTTTTGCTTTTAATGTTAATTCGGACTTACGCACAGATAGAGCAATGATGTCAAGCCAATTTCCTCCTATGAGGTCACTGTCTCTCATTGCTTAATCCAAAAATAGTCCTAAAACTCACACAACAATGACAAAAAACATATACAGAGACCAGAGAGAATGGAAATAGTTCAATTATCTCTTATTCTGTTTTCATTTTGCACGTATTGACGTAAAGCTGAGGGCATTTAAAGCAGCAATACCAATGGCTAGCTCTCATTGCTTGTACTACAGTGAAGGGGGCAAAACAGAGCTCCACAGAAAATGCCAGATACTGGCCGGTCTCCGATTGTGCAATGGTCAGTGGAAATCAAAAGCAAAATACAAACAAAATCAAGACTATAAGAACAAAGCCTGCAAAAAGAACAAAATCTTCGTACAACTGCAACGTAGCAACGCATTGCCCACTCTTCTCCAGTTCCCACTAATAAATCAAAGTGCAAAAAATACATTAAAAATTTCAAACTGCTTTCATTCTTCCAAACCGCAAACCACACAACCCCTCTGAATTACTAACTTCCCTCGAGAAACATAAATAGTGCATTGACAAAAGTGAAAGAATTGTAGGAATCAGTGCAAATACCTAACAACGTTAAACCAAGTGGTTCAACAATGTGTAGAAAACAGACAGACAAGCACAAAGACAGCAAACTCTGGAAAACAAAGTTTTAGAAAAGGAGGAAGGAACATATTAGGATTATGTGGCTCACACAGCTCCAGTGCACAAATCCATGCATTAGCCAGCATCTCAACTTGGCAGAACCTGAAGTAAGAAAACATCAAGAAGTCTGAAAGTGTGAAGTTCATCAAAAACAATCTTTCACCAACTTTTGGGTTATAGAGTTCTCCTTTTCATCAACAGGATTGCCATTCTCCTCTTCTTCAAACGGGTTACAATTCGAGCGTATCGTGCTAGTGGTACTCCGGACACTAGGACTGTCATTTAGGAAATAAAATTGTTACAAGGGAACTCCTCTTACAGTGATATTTAATAAATAGTACTTTTGCTGGTAAGACGATATAAATAAAGCTCCAATGTTGTTGACCGACAGAAGCAATTGGCAAATAAGTAAACATTTGTGGTGACTTTTCTGAACTGCAGAAATAACCCCCCACCTTGTCTCACAGCATTGCGTAAGTACGGGAAAACGGCGAGGGGAAATCCCCAGGTATGAGAGGAAAACTTTAGAGGTCCAACTGATGGGCTGGTGACATTTCAAGTTCAATCACCTCGGACAATTTCACATTTGTAGCTTTGAATTTGTCCTCCAGCCTCAATGAGAGCATCACCGTAACAGCAACAGCTCATTTAATCCAAATGGCTGCTGCTGTGAGCAAAGCCTTCCCATCAACAGCCACTCAAGACTGTTGGTTAGGTGTTAGGGTAACCATGTTATGTCAAATTGAAATACATATAAGTAAAGGACTGCAGAGTGTCAATGTGTGACATGACAAACTTTACTGCACGCAGGTCTCTCCACACTGTGGTGGAAAGCAGGGTCTGCCCTCTGTGCTGCAGTGAGGTGAGGGCGAAGAGGCTCTAATAATAATAATAATCCTTGCATTTGATATAGCGCCTTATCACATTGTTGAGACATCTCAAAGCGCTTCACGGAATATATTGTAAAGTAAATTGACTGTATTTTGGGGTGAAATGTGGCAACCAATTGTGCACAGCAGGGTCCCAAAAGCAGGCATGGATTGAGTGACCAAATTATTATCATTTATCTTTTGGAGGGGGCTTATTACCCCCAGTAAAGCGATCCGCCCATTAATTAACAGTCGGATTCCTACTTACTGTTAGGTAAACAGAGGTGTGTGGAATAAGGAAACTTGCCAAAAGTTTCACCCTGTACAGGAAACGAACCTGGGTCCTCTCGCTTAAGAAGCGAGCCTGCTAACCACTACACTTCGGGACTACAAGCGTTCACCCACTGAGTGCACAGGGACAATTACAAGTCACCTGGATGACATCTTGTGGAGTCCTGTAGCTCAGTGGTTAGGGCACTCTCAAGCGAGAGGACCTGGGTTCGATTCCCGGCAGGGCAAAATGTTGGGCAAGTTTTCTTACTCCACACGCCTCTGTTTACCAAGCAGTTTAAGTAAGAACCCAGTTGTCAGTCGATTGGCAGATTGCTTTTCTGGGGTTAATAAGTACTTCAAAAAATAACAACAATTTGGTCACTTAATTCACGACTGTTTGTTGGACACTGTTTGTGCACAATTGGCTGTCGTGTTTCGTCCACAAAACAATCAATTAACTTTGCATTATATTCTGTGAAGCACTCTGAGATGTCTAGAAGACGTGATAAGGCACTATATCAAATGCAAAGATAATTATTATCATTATCTTCAAAGGGTCATTATACGCACAGGGTTGGGCACTCCCTTGACCCCAAGGTGGTGCATAACCAAGAAATGTGAATCCTGGGGAGTGAATGCCTCAGTGGCACAGCACACTGTCTTTGCTTCTGTGACCTGGGCTGGAAGCCAGACGTCACCTGGAAGACAAATGCTTCCTCTTGGAACTCACTGAAAGAAAGACATCGCCCTTCTCTCCACCTCCATTATTTACAGTAATGTTACTGTGGAAAGTAAAGAATAGAACTGATCCAGTACCTTAGATAGTTTTGTAGAGTTTTTACCTGCATTTTCTACAGATGTATAATGAGCCTGCACATGGAGTAAGCCAAGGCAAGTTCATTTTAAGAGCTTGTGGAGAACATGCAGTACTGTATTACTAATAATGTATAACATTTGCAACACTTAGGAGTGCAAAATGCTCTAAGAAGCATGCTGTACAAATTCGTAACCGCAGCTATTATCGTTCACTGTAGGTTTCACAAATATACTTATTGGCACAATTTACTGCCATTAATTTAAATATAGTTATAAGAGCCTCAGTTTATAAATAATATGGCTGAGATGCAGGACAAAACATATTTGGGGGACAAATTTGGAAAATGACTATTGTGTCATTGACGATGACTACAAATGCACATGGTGTCATTGTGTCGAAACCTATTGGGGTAAGCTGCAAAAACTGGTTTAGGCTATAGCTTGAATTTTTTTNCTAAAATACTGAATTCACAAGCATTGCAATATTTGGTACAAACATCCACAGTAATTTCACTTTACCACAAATGTATAGAATCTCAAAACACCTTCCAAGCCATTGAAATCCTGGCCTGAAAAGGTTTGGCAATGTCACGCATATTTTTGTCCTAATTCTTCTGTGAAGTTTAGAGCAGTAAGGAGGTTTTGGAAAGTCTTACCTGCTGTGCTTGGTTCGCTGAGATGCCGGATCCCCTGTCTGACTGATGTTAGTCAGCATTACTCCATCCGCAGCCTTTTTAGGCTTTTCCCTCCTACTGAGTGTGCGGTTCAGGTCAGCTGACCATTCCTATTTTAAAGAAGATGAATATTAAAAAAAATATAAACCGACTTGTCCTTCGCAATGCAAATAATCTTTAGTGAAATGATGATGCAAACTATATCCAGAACAATGGGAGTTAAGGGTCGCAAGAACAAGTAAAATAATAATAAAATTATATTTGTACAGCGCCTTTTACATTGGGAGGACATCCCAAGGCTCTGGACAGTCAAGGATTTGGATCTAAGCTTGGCTTTGTGATCAGGAGGGATGGCGGGCAGGGAGGGTGGAGGTAGGAGGGTGGGGGTAGGAGGGTTTCTGAAGGAGCGATTAAAGGAGGGTCTAGAGACAGACCTTGAAAGGGGCAAGGGACAGAGCGAGGTGAAGGGTCTGTGGGATGGAGTTCCAAAGGGTGCGGGCAGGGAGACTGAAAGTCCAACCGCCGATAGTGGGGCAGGCAGGGCAGGAATATGGAGCAGGCTGGAGCCCGTTGATCGAAGGGAGCATGAAGTATGAATATGAATATAAAACAATTCAGATCAGTGTATTTGATCTGTGAAGTGGCAGTCAAAACAAAGGCCCTAAATATTGATATGTACAAACAGCACAGGAGAGCAGATAAATATTTTTCTTTCAACCGATAACTGTAGATAATGTTGAAAAACTCGAATAAAGGTCTGAATGACTCGGAGACAGTCAGCAATATTGACAGTAGATTGAAGACGTGTATTTGCAAAACGTAACAACCTTTGTTACGGTTACAGATATATTTTAAGAATAAAGAAACCAAAAGGAATGCTTTAACACATTAATTTATTTTCTGATCTGTGATATGGTGAAAGTAATGATCTTAACATGAGTAGACGAAAGAAACACTTACTTCATCCTGATAAACATGTCGGCCAGAAAAAAGTTTTGGGGAAAAAAAGTTACAAAATATTACACTGTCTTTACTATTGCCACAATACTCCTGAAACGTTTTTTTCTAGAATACCAAATTATTGTGATTCAAAAATAAGGTTTACTGCATTGTTTTGATAAGTGGGACATCTTCTTTAGCATTCTTAACATATAACACCCTCTTCAAACAGTACAGATTAAAGATCAAACAATAGGTCATGCCAGGTCAAACCGTTGATGAACCCAACTAAGTAATTACTATTCTTGAACATATCACACACACTCACACGCCCACAATTATTGCTGCCAGCAGATTGCAAGATGATTAAACTGAAAAATATCCATCCAGGTTTGACAATCTTTGTTTGCATTAATTCATCATGCACAGATCTTGGATGCGATGTTACAAGAACAAGTTGCATTTATATAACGCCTTTTACGTCGAGAGGACGTCCGCCCAAGGCACTGCACAGTCAAGGGTTTGCACATGAGCTTCGGCATTTATTTTGAGGAGAATTGTAAATTTTGTAAAATTTACATTTGAGAATAACTAAAATTCTTTGTGTGGTTTGTCTGGGACAAAGAATGCTAATCATCGCAGAGTCCCAGGGGATGATTACTGACAGTTCTTGGGCAAATGCCAAGCATCTTTTACGTCACGTGATATTACCCCTCAATATTTCAGGGGGAAACAGGGATTAAAAGATCATCTCAGCAAACACAGCTTTAGATATGCTAAAACATTTTAGTATGTTCATAGAACTTATGTTTTGCACTAAAATGTTGCTTTACAAAACCTTTGGTCGGTGTTCAGTGCTGCACCATAGCAAACAAATATTCTCCATTGGATCAGCAGAACAGGCTCGAGGTCTAGAATGTTGCACTCCTGTTCCTATAAATATCACTGAGTACAGATAGAGAGTTCTTTTTATCCCAAAAAACATTTTTTCCAAGTTTTTTTTTTATAGGCTAACTTGGAATTTCTAAAAGTGCCTGGGAATGGGAAGCGGTGAGTGGTCTAAAGCAACAACGACTTTCCACTAAAAACTTGGTGGTGCTTAACACAGTGAAATGTCCAATTCCAAAGCATTTCATGCAGCACAGCAATTCAGAAACCAAGAAGCATGCATTCACTTGGCAGTGCTTCCCAAACACAATCCACGGCTGAAATCAGCCCAACCACTGCAACCTTACACTGATCGAGACAGCATGCTTTGACAAAACACAATCTTCAGAAACCACAGGCATGTTGAAAAGCACAAATGTAGATGAATACAGCATTAAAAAGCACAAAACTCTTACATTTGTCTCCAGCTTCAGTCCCACTCGTAACTTAGGGTTTCTGCTGTTAAAAATCCTACTGTAGTGACCGAGGACAGATTTAAAGTTTTGTAGGGCACATTATAATAGGACCTCAATGTTCCGTCAAAGCTGTACATGACCAATTGCTTGCGACACCAAAGCAATTTATACAGAAAGATTTTTTTTGAACAAATAAGTGTCACTGCAAACAAACTCGAGAGAAAACAATATCCGGAAAGCAAGCAGCAACTGTGCAAAGTGCTGCATAAAGAGAAATCATTGAAGCTGAAATATTTCAATCCCCTTTATGTAACCTGCCCTCTCTCTGTCTAATCACAAAGCACTCGTCTATCTGTTTTTGCTCATCAAACGGGGTGATGTCCCGATGCGATGCTCAGCATTGCACCACTTTACATGGCAATGGAATGGCCGTCTCCTCGTAAACGGTGCCTGTTTACACCAAATGGGGTGGCAGTAGATACCAACCCCAAGAGCAGAGCTGCCGGGGGCAGAATATTTACACAAATGGCAAGATGAGCTTTGGTGGGTTAGTTTGAATTTAAGGAAAAAATTAACAGCAGCTTCTGTACGTAGCACATTTCAAAAGCGATTGCAGAATCGTTCCATTTTAGTAACGGTCTAACTCGTTGATCGTGTTACAGCTTTATTGTAGATTGAGTGCGTTCAGCAACTCGGGTCCTGTCGTGCAGACAGTATAAATTCGGTGTTAGTGCACACCAGAGGGTGCTGGAAATTCACAACAGGTTAATCAGCATCTGAAACTGAGGGTTGGCTAATGTTCCAGGTATGCCCTTCATTGGAATTCCCCACAATATAATCAGAATCCTTGCATTCAATGTTGTTGAGATGTCTTGAAGTGTTTGACAGGATGTACTGTAAAGCGGATTGACTGTGTATTTTGTGGGCAAAATGTGGCGCTATATCAAATGCAAGGATTATTATTACTATTAAATACATCTGGGCAAAAGAGCATTGCGCAGTGCTTTTTCAAGGATTAAGAAGGAAATCACAGAACGAAAAGCATTCCAATAGAATTACTAGCACTGATCTCAGCAACTCTTTGAAGACACTTATTAGCAACTGAGGTGGTTCTCATTGTATACTCATTTCTGTTCAAGTGCTAACCTGATAAGGAAATGGAAGAAGAACGGACAGACTTTCACGACAGCCAGGTATCAAAGGCAGTCTTTGCATGGAGTCAAAAATAAAGGTGGAACCAAAACAGATCAAGAACCGTGCGGTTGCACTCGCTTCACGTCTCATACCTCAAACTGCGGCCAGTTCATGGGCATTCCCGGACCGTGTGTACATTTAAACCATTTGAGGTCCTCCTGGGCATCTGCTGACTTTATACTGTGGTCTAGCTCTCGATATATATTGCCATAGCTGCGAAAGAAGAAAGAAAAACAAATGCCCTGGTCAAACGACAGGAGATTTAACAAGACTTTAACATAAGAGAAGACGAAGCAGACACTATATCAATGCAAATTTGTAATTTTTTATTTGTAAATCAAGGATGAGAAAAAGAGCCAATAGGTCCACTGAAACTCATCCCTCTGGGGGACAAATATAGCTTCAAAGTATATTTTGAATAAGATAAAGGTTTTGGTGCCTTGCCTCGCCAGGCAGATTGTTGTCTACATTTCTGCCGCTTCAACACATGGGCCACTATCAATACAATACACAGCTCTTTACAAAAACAACTTGCATTTATATAGCACTCTTCAGTGTCCTCGCAGAACTGTTTTTATGCATACTTCATTTATAGCTTGTATTTAGGCAATTTTCTCCGCCCCCTTCCTCCCACGCCCCCCCACCCCAACTCTGTTAGCTGGTAACCAGTTTTGGGTGTGGGTCTTGAGCCTCATAGTTACATTGCATTGCTGATTCTCAAAGTTCAGGCTCACGCACGCAGAACATCTTTGAAATAGGGCTACTTCTGCACCTGAGACTGCATACCAGTAAACAGAGTCAGCACAATGAGTGGAGGGGGGGAAGAAAATTACACAAACTCAAGCTACGAATAGATGTGCAGAAATCAACCAATCTGAGCTTAAATAAGAGAAGCCGACACTGAATACTAAATAAATCCTCCCCATCCCGCTGCCTCCTGTGGTATAATCTTCATCACAACTAAAGGCTAATGAGCGGGCTAATGCAGAGGCACAGCCACAGCTATAAAATTTGGAAACAAGAAGATCAATGGAGAAACGAGAGCAGACCTGGCGCTATGCCACACTACGGCAATGTCTCCTTGAAGTAACCAAAGTCTCCAACTGTGCTGCACGAATGGTCAACAAGTAAACACCCAGAGTAGACATGCTGTCTGAGTGCTCCCACAAAGCTGCAAGGTGACTGCACTAACCACTACGCTCCAGGACTCCACAAATTCCCCCCCTGTACAGATCATTCACTTTAGAGATTTCCGGTTGTTCCCATATTTCGTTGCTATCCAGTGTTTGGCATCATTAAGCACATTCCTGAACTCAAACACTCTAATTTGCTCAGGTGCAAGCAAGTATGATATGATAGCAAACCATCTGTTCCTGCTTACTTTGCAGCTTACAAATGAAGGAGAAGCTGTTCAATGGTACAAATTGTGCCTGAATGATGCATGTACCTCGATTTATTAAAACAGCAGCAGAAGACCAACCGATGACAACCTACAAAATCTATTCCGTTGTACCAGCCCTACGTTCTGCAAGGTTATATTCAGACTCAATCCCCTGCAGTGGTACCAGTCATTTGTGAGATATGAATACATCCTCTCAAATGGTTTAATACCTACAAACGAGAACTGAAAAATATACTTTAAGATCTTTTAAATCAATAGACGTCAACATGGGAGCGCAGCAGCAGAGTAACGAGAATCACTGATGTCTTGCGAGCAACTCCTTCCATTATTAAAAACCGCTAAGGCTCAAACACAGGAAAAAAGGAACGATAAACAAAAGCACTTGCAGAATACCAGCTCAGCATCATCTGCCCTTTCTGTGTGGTCACCTAAGCACAGCTACCAATTCACAGCGGTTGCTAATATTTACAATAATAATAATCCTTGCATTTGATACAGCCCCTTATCTCATCGTTGAGACGTCTCAAAGCGCTTCACAAAATATACTGTAAAGTGGATTGACTGTATTTTGTGGGCGAAACGCATCAGCCAATTGTGCACAGAAGCCCCACAAACAATTGTGGATTGAGTGACCACATTTTAGGGAGGGATTATCATCCCTGGAAAGCCACCTGCCAATCGACTAACAACCAGATTCCTATTTACTGCTCAGTAAAGAGAGGCATATGGAGTAGGGCAACTTACTTAATGTTTCGCCCAGCCCGGGAATCTAACCCAGGTTCTCTCGCTTGCGAGGCGCGTACGCTAACCATTACGCTACGGGACTTTGTTCCTTATTCCTTCCCAAATCCTTCTGTTGCCCTCTCCCTTGTGTGAATCTCTGTCTGATTCAACTACCATTTCACGCTGCAAGTTCCACTATCTAATGCCCTCTACGTGAAATAATTCTTCCTAAATTCTCCTATAGATCCCCAAATCGTGATCTGATCTAATATTTGTGTCCCCCCAGTTATGGACTCCCCAACCAGTGGAAAGAGCATTAAGTCAGGCCGTTGTTTACCTGGTGCTGTTTGAAAGGTCAAGATGCCGCTTGACCTCAAGAAGAACATCTCGAAAAAAGCATAGCCGTTTATCCTCAAACACTTGGCACTGCTCGAAGACTTGCTCCATGTTCTCCATGTACTGAGGTGTGGACTTGTTCAGCTCCTCTAGGGACTTCTCATACTTCTCTTTTGTCTGAAAAGGGAACAAAAAAAAGGGGGTTTACAATCTGCGCCTCTGTAGGTGCAGCTCACTTGCTCGAAACATCCTCGAAGATGAAAAAGAACCAGATGGGGTATGGTGTTTCCTGTTAAGGTACAGATTGTTGTTGTAAACAAGAAGACGACAGGACAAGCCAGCTGGAAGGATGGGATCAAATGGTCTGAAGGCTTTTCATCTGTAACCTAACTTACGATATACAGTAAACTCCTGATAACTCATTATTCCACGACAGCACAATGGCTGACGTGCTCGTGACAAATTAAGCTTGGGTCAAGTTATTAGAAGTTTACTGGAGTGCATTTCTATTGGAAAGGTAAAAAGAAAAACAACCGGTATCTACTTTGTTTCATTCAATACATTAGATAAGATTAACAAATCAACCCTGGTTTTTGCAATTTCAAGTCAACTCAAGTGTACTCAACTCAAAATTGCCCAAGTGTTTTTCTTTGGAAAGAGGAAGGTCTTCAGGTGGGACCTGGAAATGGGGAAGGAGGGGCAAGGCAGATGGATAGAGGAAGAGTGTTCCAGAGTGGAATGGCGTAGTGGCTGAAAGCATGGCCACCAATGGTGGAACGGAAGGTACGAAGGACAAGCAGGAGCCCGGAGCCAGTCGAGCGGAGGTAGTGGGTAGTGGAGTTTGCAGGTTGGAGAGGTACATAGGTGTCAGGGCACGAAGGGATTTGAAGACGAGTATCAGGATCTTGAAATCGATTCTTTCGATGATAGGGAGCCAGTGGAGCCTGGCTAGAACTGGTGCAATGGGAGCTGGAGTTTAGTGCGGGTGAGTATGCAGAGTTTGGGATCAGCTAGATTTTGTATACGGTGGAGCTGCGGAGTCTGGCAAGGAGGGCATTTGAATAGTTGAGGATCAATGGTTATGTCGTTCAGCAGTGACATCCGCAAAATAAATTTAAACTCTGCTCGCTGGGTGTTTTTTGTATTCAATGTCAATCTATTTGGCCACCTGACAGCAGTTTACGTGTCCGTCAACACTTCCTACCTTTTGCATGTCCTGCTTGGATTTTTCCACTTTATCCTGCAGTTTCTTCATCTGTTCCTGATTCATGTTTGGGTCATTCTTGCTGGTCGATTCCCTGGAGGTTGCAAACTTCTCTTCTTTACAGGCAGCATGGTACGCCTTCTTGGCAGCGTCCACCTTGAAAAACAGGTTCATCAATTGGCCAGTGGATCAACCAACAAACGTACAGGAGCTTTACAAAGTTGGCGAGAAAGGGCAAGGCTGGAGGAATTAATAATAATCCTTGAATTTGAAATATTGCCTTGGCACATCGTGGAGAAGTCTCAAAGCTTTTCACAGAATATATTGTGAAGTGGATTGACTGTGTATTTTGTGCGCGAAACAACAGCCAATTGCTCACAGCAATTCTTTAATCAAAGGTTTAATATTTTGTGCTATGAATCTAGTGTTGGTTTGCTCCAGAAAAAGGTTTTCTTTTACATCAAGAGTTAACGTGTAAGCAAGTGGTAAGACTTTATTTTTAAATCGGAAGAAATTTTCTCCCTCATCCCATCTGAAGTCTCTTTCTACCTGTGTCTTTCTGGATAAGAGGCAGTAAATGAGAGGCAAATAGGAATGATGGGGGCTCGTGTAGAGTAAAAATAAGGGCATGCACTAGTTGGATCAAATAGTCTTGTTTCCATGCTGGAGCGTTCAACGTAATTCTATTTACTCTTACCCGCCACATCCCTCCCCTCATCACCAGCTGTATACCTGAGAGAATGGGTAAGTTTTGCAAACTTACTTTGAAACTGGCTGCGAGGATATACGCAAGAACAAGTACAAGATGAATTTGATTAGATTCTTCACACAATCTCGACTTCAGTTCACTAAGCCATCACCTGAGCCCCCAAATATTTTAGTTTCTAAACAAATAACTTATTTCAGAACTTATGGGGCTGCTGTAGATGGGGCAGAACAAATTCACTTCGGGTTTGAAACCTTTTGTTCAGAAAGAATGAGCGCAGCAGAAAAGAATGATCTAATTTTACAAGGAAATGTCACAAGTCACTCGTCCATACCTCCTTTAGTTTTTTAGCCCAAGGTTTCTGTGCCTTACGGAATCCATCATCTGCCTCCTTGGTTTCTTTGAACCCTGCCATCATTTGTTTGTGGTACGCCTCCTTCTGCCAGTTCTTGACTTTCTCAAAATCCTCGCCCATCAAAGCTCCCTTCACCTCCAGATGCAGCTCACTGACCTTTTCGGCCTCAGTCATTACAGATATCCAGGCCTTTTCCACGGTTCCATACTGTGGTCCTGTGGAGACCACAAAGCACATACGTTGGTAATAATAATTATCCTTACATTTGTTACAGTCATTCATGTCAGCAAACGTCTGGAAGTGCTTCACAGGATATGCTGTCAAGTGTGTTTTGTGGGCCAATGTTCAACCACTTATATGAATTACACACAGCTTATCCCAGGCGACTCTTATAATGCGCCATTGAGCGCATTTAATTTGCATATCTCATTCAATCCAAGACTATCATTTCATGAAAACTCTACGGCAGCAGATATGGAATAAACAGAAAGGGTGCTAAATTTGCAGAGAAATCTATGGTGGAGTCCACACAAGGAGAGCAATAGAAGAATAGTTTTTCACAATGATATGTCTTTTGTTCACAGATTCATTTTTTCCAGCTTTGAAAAGATATGCATTTTGTCACCTTACTATTGGAGTTTCAATCATAATAATAATCCTTGTATTTGATATAGCGCCTTATCATGTCTTCGAGACGTCTCAAAGTGCTTCACAGAATATACTGTAAATTGAAGTCTCAAGGCTGGAACCCATGTTACTGGGCTGGAGAATACAGCTGTTTGATCAACAAGGAATCCTCAGCATGGACCCCACAACTTTCCCAGTCCGAGAGCAGCCAACGGCTTCAGCATTTGGAAGGGATCAAGCCTTGGTGGAGGTTGGGGAGAGTCCCAGACATCCCCCTCCCCCTTCCTCTCTCTGAAACTGACAGAGTTTGAAGCAAAAAAAGTTGAAGTATTAAGGGGGTTAATGAACTCCATGGATACCAATTCAAGTTCTCACAATGTAGCTCTGTCAAGGCATGCAGAACAAGGCCAACAGCCTTACCCACAGTTCATATAAAGTAGGTCGGAAATGGCCAGCAGTGATTGGCTCAGCAGGAGATTTGGAACGCGAGGCTTGAGGACAACAGGGATACTGTTGAACTTTTCTCGATCTCCTTTGAGGATTGGGGAGTATTTATATTGATTGACATGCAGGGATGGAGTCCAGGATTGGGTAGATTGTACAGAGTCAGTAGAAAGAGAGGGTTTGATGTCCTGATCGGTCTCTTTTCACTTCACGCCTTATATTCTAATCAAGGATTCAGAATTGGGACTTCTAAACAATCCTTCCAAATACCCAGGCTGCCTACTCATAATCATAATCATCATCATCCTTACACTTGATATAGTGTCTTTCACATCAGGAAGATGTCTCAAAGCACTTCACTGGAATTATTGTAAAATGCAGCAACTGTATTTTGTGGGTGAAGGCAGCAGCAAAGTTGTGCAGAGCAATGCCCACCAACAGCCATGGTGGGAGTGACCGATTTTATTTGGGAGATTTTTAGCTAGGACACGAGAAAAACTCCCTCTCTTTTCAAATAGTGGTGTGGGATCAGGCAGGTAGGATATAAAATACAGATACAGAAAATACTAGTTGTGACATTTCGGTCAATCAAATTTGAGAATGCTTCTAGATATATACATAAAAACCCTCAATGAAAATACAAAGTACGGACACTATAAAAAGTTCCCACATTGGTATTCAATCCGGCAAATCGATCCATTTGGTAATATTCTCAATATATTTCAGCAAAGCAATTGCTGAATGGTCTTGTCCACATAAAACAGGGGCAACTGAACAGCAGCTTAAAACTGACATGTATCCTTACAAGTGTTGAAATGCCTCCACCGTTAAATCTCACTGTGTAACGTCTTATGAAAGTTATGAAAACAAAAAACAGTATTGAAACAATCTCAGCCCCAAATTCCCTTCACAGACCATTTACATTGCTTTGAGGGAGTTGAAGGGCAACCAGAACAGTCACTATATCGTCAACATCATTGTCCTTCTGCCCTCTGTAAGAATGGAATAAACTGAGAAGTGAATCCTTTTCAGGGTTTCTCACTGACGTAATTGCAAAGCAAACAAATGCAACCTTACCTTTCTCGATGAGCTGCTTCCACCTCTTGGCCCATTCCGTCAGCTGCTGAGAGTATGTTTTCTCTATCCGAGCACGCTCATGGATACAGTTCATTAGGTCACTGCACAGTCTGTGACCATCATCAACCCGTTTCACTGAACGCTTATAGTTTCCAACCTACACCGTCAGGATAGAAGAAAAAAGAAATCGGTGGAGATCGTCAGTCTAGGATCAGTGCCTTTTCATTGGACCTAAAAACAATCAACTGCTGTGAAAATAAATGGTTAATTACGTAGATTCAGTGCTGAGCAATGGTGCATTGCATTCAGAAACAAGTGAACGAATACAAAACACTGAGTTATGGACTTGGATTCCTGTCCACAGATGGCACTCACGTCTGTCAGATGGCACTCATGCCTGTCGGATGGCACTCATGTCTGTCAGATGGTTCTCATGTCTGTCAGATGGCACTGATGCCTGTCAAATGGTTCTCATGTCTGTCAGATGGCACTCATGTTTGTCAGGTGGCTCTCATGTCTGTCAGATGGCACTCATGTCTGTCAGATGGTTCTCATGTCTGTCAGATGGCACTCATGTCTGTCAGATGGCACTCATGTCTGTCAGATGGCACTCGTGTCTGTCAGATGGTTCTCATGTCTGTCAGATGGCGCTCATATCTGTCAGATGGCGCTCATGTCTGTCAGATGGCTCTCGTGTCTGTCAGATGGCACTGATGTCTGTCAGATGGTACTTGTGTTTGTCAGATGGCTCTCATGTCTGTCAGATGGTTCTCATGTCTGTCAGATGGTTCTCATGTTTGTCAGGTGGCACTCATGCCTGTCAGATGGCACTCATGTCTGTCAGATGGATCTCATGTCTGTCAGATGGTTCTCATGTCTGTCAGATGGCACTCATGTCTGTCAGATGGCACTCATGTCTGTCAGAGGGCACTCGTGCCTGTCAAATGGTTCTCATGTCTGTCAGATGGCACTCATGTTTGTCAGATGGTTCTCATGTCTGTCAGATGGTTCTCATGTCTGTCAGATCGCACTCATATCTGTCAGATGGCTCTCGTGTCTGTCAGATGGCACTGATGTCTGTCAGATGGTACTTGTGTTTGTCAGATGGCTCTCATGTCTGTCAAATGGTTCTCATGTCTGTCAAATGGTTCTCATGTCTGTCAGATGGCACTCATGCCTGTCAGATGGCACTCATGTCTGTCAGATGGCACTCATGCCTGTCAGATGGCACTCATGTCTGTCAGATGGATCTCATGTCTGTCAGATGGTTCTCATGTCTGTCAGATGGCACTCATGTCTGTCAGAGGGCACTCGTGCCTGTCAAATGGTTCTCATGTCTGTCAGATGGCACTCATGTTTGTCAGATGGTTCTCATGTCTGTCAGATGGCATTCATGTCTGTGGTCACACGTTTTACGCTCTTTTGTATTCACAAATAATGCACTGAATTAGTCCTGACTGAGAGGCTCCAGGAAGTCACCACCTCTTGCCTCTTGTGCACAGACACAGAGGCACACACTCGCAGACACAGGGACATACACACAGTTACGACACAGAGAGAGAGAGACCACACACACACACACTCACTGACACCTAGAGAAACACACACACACATAAACAGACAGAGGGAGATACACACAGACATTCTGCAACACCGGGGTCTTGGGGTGAGGGAAGCCCATTTCCTTCTCATCCAGAGCCTCTCCGCCCACAGTAGTCACGACGAGAAGACAACAACAAACAACTTGCATTTATATAGCGCTGGGTAGCATCCCACAACGCTTCACAGCTGGCAGCAGCACGCAGAAGCCTCGAGGTTACTGTGTTTGTACAGGTGTGTAGCGGACCAGGTCGTTTGTAGCGGATTCTGCAGAAAAATTGTGGCCTCACTTTAAAGCCATCCATGGCCTTGCCCCCTCCTACCGCTCTGACCTCCTGACTCCCTACCAACCCGCCCGCTCCCTCCGTTCGTCGGACTCCGGGCTGCTCCGTGTCTCCCGCCCGACCGGCCCTACCATTGGTGGCCGGGCTTTCAGCCTCTCTGCCCCCACACTTTGGAACTCCATCCCATGGTTCCTTCACCTCGCTTCCTCCTTTGCCTCCTTCAAGGCCAGTCTCAAGACCCTTCTCTTCGACCGTGCCTTTGTCTCACTCCCACCTCTCTGCCTTCCCTCACCCCTACACCACCCCTCCCCCATGCTCGGACTCCCACACCTGACTGTTCAGCGCTTTGGGACGTGAAAGGCTCTCTATAAATGTAATTTTATTGTTGTTGTATTGGAGCTTTTTAGGTACTGAACCGAGATTGGTTTGTTTGAGAGATCAATCTACTGCTATGTTGCAGATTGCAAGTAGAATTTGAAAGTGTTACTGAAGCTAAGTGACCATCTTGCTATGTAGTGGACGGCATATTACAGATGACTGTGAAATCATTTTACAAAGTAACAATGATGCTACTTGTGCTGTTGGAAGTGAAGTGCTATTTCTTTCATCGGCAACAGAGCAACTGAAGAAGCTGGCTGGATTTAAGCCTCATCTTTTGGTCAATGGGAATGACTGGAGCTGAGAAAAAAAGCTCAGAACAAGCAGAACTAGAGAGCATGGGCAGCGTTCCACGGACAGGAATTAACATTTAACGAGCCAGTTGCTTTAATGATATTTTGGTGGCTTGTAGGTGATGAGCTTGAAGATACAGCTCTGGGTCTTGAACCCCCTCCTCCCCTCCCCCAACAGTAAACAGGTAAAGGCACCAACTACTCAAAAACTATGAGGTCATATAGACTGATCTGATCTCAATTGGGCTGAGACAATTTGCATTAACCGTCCTGGATTAGGGAGGGGAAAGCCGGCCAGACTTCCACCATGGCAGTTCTCTCTAGGCAAAATCCTGCAGTTTTTATCAGTGGCAATCAGATTGAGGTTTGTTTTACGTGTCACTCACGCAGAGATAAAAACTGCAGTATTTTGCCTGGAAAGAACAGCCTTGGTGGCGGCAGTGTAGTCCTTCCCCTCCCTAACTATTGCTTTAGTTTGCAGAACCATGTCCTTGTAGGTTATCGGAGAATTGCAAAACAAGATGACTGGAATAAAATGAGCAATTTATCCCCTTCCCACCCCTATCCAACAGTCCACAGGAAAAGACCCACATCACCTAAAGATAAGTTAAAGATCTAAGAGGTCACAGAGGCTCAGATAAATTACAGCCGTTTAAACATGTGGATTTGTAAATTACATTGGCTAGCTATCACAATAATTTACATTTATAGAGCGCCTTTGGCTTTAGGAGGATGTTTCAAAGTGCTTCACACAGCTGACTGGGAGCCCAAACTTGGGGGAGGGTGGTGGGAAAAGCGACTGAAGGCATAGTGGAAAAGATGGGTCTTAAGGCGGGCTGGATACAAGTTTGGTACTTGATATAACTGAATAGTCAGTTAGCAATGCATAGACTTTTAGGAATTCACATTGCAGTTAATTTAACACCAGTTTGAAAAGATAGATCACCTCACTTCACAAATGACACAACTACTGATTCGGGAAGTACAGAATATAGACATTTTACTTGCTGTATTTAAAATTGCTTGCTACCTTTAGAATGTTGAAGGCGCCTGTCCTTGCCCCCCCCGCACCCCCACCCAGTTTAACATCTCTGAAGTCTTGCCAAACACATAAGGAAATAATTTAACATTTTTTACGGGTCTACTATTTCCAGATGCTACAAGTTGTAAGATAAATTTAGCAAGCAAAGCCAAGGAAAATATTCTGAAAAGATATTATTCTGCAGGTTGTACAATATTGTTTCTCCTTCCTCGGGTCTTTGTCTTTTTACTAGGATATAGACACTCCTGGCTTTCCTCTGCTGCCTCAGTGATATCCAGCATTTTGGACACCGACCCATTAGGGAGTAATTCTTAAGCGTATGGTTTACAGGTTCCCAGATTGTAAGAGGAAAGGAAGGATTGTAGTTTTGAAATGCTGGGAAAGGTTGCTGAGTTTAAGTGCTGTGTTAAAGTCCTGAGTTGAAGTGCTGAGTTAGCGTAGTAGACTGGGCAATGAGTTTGGATTTTAACACAACGTACACAGTGAGCTTGTGAAGAATATGGAATCTGCAGGTTAATTGGGGTGGAGTGGGAGAAATAAGGAAATAGACACAACTGAGTGGAAACTTACAGCAAAGCTCAGGCATCTGACTCAGAGACAGAGTCAGACATAGAAAGAGAGAAAAGCAGGAATGTGTACATTGCAGCCACCCCACTGCCCACACAAAAATCGTTGAGTCTTAAGATCTCCTCAATCTGAAACACTGAATTCACAACATATGGCTTTGATATGTTGTATAAAGCAAAATATTTACACACAGCAGTTTTGCTTCGGTAGATTTGATTCAGAGACAATCTCCTTGGATTATCCATCTCCACCACACTGCAATGACACAATCACCGCAAACAGGTTGCTAGGGCAGTAATTGGCGTATGCATCACAACACACAACGAATGAAGAAAATAAACCAAAAGAGAGGGAGGGAAGTAAAATAATGTAGTCTGAGTAAAATAATGTAGATTGCTAATGTTTTCACTCTGCTTTTGTAAAGCTCGGTGATCCGTGAAAACTCAACCCTGTACTAATACGGGATAATATCACGAGCTCTGGAAGACTGGCCAGCACTGAGTTCTCAAGAGCAATTCACAAGTCCTGGTGCTGAAACACAACTACCTAACTCAGTGATGTGAAGCAGCTGTTCTTTAATACGCCAGCAATGGCCAGCCTTGCCCAGATGCTCAAGAATTGCTGCAGAACAAACAAGCTCCATTTGAAAGGGGAAGATGTGGTGCCTGAGGTCACGCACTAAATCCCAATACATCCGACGCACGAGACAACTTGATCTTCGTTTTTTTCTCAGACACCCTGAAATTTCAACATGAAAGGAACACTCCAGGCTGGCTGTGTAAAAATAAACGAAAACATACACGCAAAGGTAAAGCACAATCAGCCAAAGCCCCCAATTTGTTTTAAATTCCATATGTTTCAAGGCACTTTGTGGTTAGATGAAACGTACAAAGGTTACTCATTAGCTGCACCTTGCTGAGTTGCAGTGCTCAAAATTTCCTAATGGGGTCAAAATGCTACGTTAGTAATAGTAAGTCGCAAAGAGAGACTCCTGCTGGAAACTGGATGTGTGTGACACTCACTCACAAGATCTCAGCTTTGAAGCACCCCACAGTGGACCAAAACTTTAAAATAGTGCAGCAGGAAACCACTTCCTGAACCTTGTCACACCACAACCTCATGCCTCACTCTGGCCGAGTGGGGCAATTTATTGCCGGTCAGGAACTTGCACTACTGCCTTCTAGAGCAGCACGTTGGTAATAATAATCCTTACTGTTGATATAGGGCATTATCCCGTTAATGAGATGTCTCAAAGCGCTTCACATAACATACTGTAAAGTGATTGACTGTACGTTTTGGGCGAAATGCAGCAGTCAATTGCACACAGCAGCATCCTCCAAACAGAGTGGAGTCCTGTAGCTCAGTGGTTAGAGCACTCGCTTTGCAAGTGAGAGAGCTTTGCAATGTGAGGGACATTGCTGTGCGCAATTGGCTGCCGCGTTCGCCCACAAATATAGTCAATTCACTTTACAGTGTGTTCTGTGAAACGCTTTGAGACGTCCTCCCGACGTGAAAAGCGCTATATCAAATGCAAGGATTATTATTATTGAGTGAGGGTTGATTATCCCCAGAAAGCAATCCACCAATCGACTAACAACCAGCTTCCAACTTACTGCTAAGTAAATAGAGGTGTGTGGAGTAAGGAAACTTGTGCATGATCCTGCCCAGGAATCGAACCCAGGACCACTGGCAAGGCTGTTTGAGACCAGGGCATTGCATTCATTTAAAGAACAGCTTAATGCTGTAATGGGAAGAGAGTAGATTGGGTATTCTGAAAGGATAAAAACAAATGGTCCAAAGAGCCTTCTTCATCCAAATCTCTCATGTGGTTTGTAAGAAGGTTTAACCGTTAGCTTCCTCCGAGCTGTTTAATCCAGTCACAGGTAATTCATTCAAACTGACAACACCAAAGGCAACAAGTAGTGGCAGAAAGTTGCTCACTTGCCCTTTTGGCAGATTCTCAAAACTCCAAACAATTATCTGTAGGCCATCATTCTCTCCTTCCATACTACTAGCCATAGATTTCATGCAGAGCCAAACAACAATGGTAAAAAAAAGGCAACCTTTTCCCAACCCTACGGATTATCTTTTTGGTGAGGGAACAAATTTATGTGGTGCCTCATTTCAGAACTGTTTAGCCCCCATCCCTCCATCCAATACAATCCAATTAAGGAGAAAGCAGAGATGAAGTTTCAATTTGGCAAAGCTGAAAGTGCATTAAATTCTTTTGTTCAGCAAGTGTGAATGTTACATGAATCACAATTACCTTCTCCTCCTCCTTTCCAGGACTTCCTTCCAGTTCTTCTTGTGACACTCATCTAACCTCGCATTCCAGAGATATTTACTGATCTCTGAATCAAACCTTTACCTCCAACAAAACATTGGTGTTTAATGTGTTTTTTCCTTTCTCCGTCCACCATCTTCTAAAAACCTTAATCTAACATTATGTTAGCCTCAACGACAGGTGATCCCAAACCTTTCAATTTGGAGAAAAGGTTACAAGTGAAATGAAGACAGTTAAACTCTACCTCCCAGAAGCTGTCACTGGGCGCTTCAATCACAACTGAATCCTCATATGAGCCTGACATGGTTGTGGCCAGAGCGTTCTTGCCCGTCTCCTGTTCACCAGAAATGGCAGCTGCAGTTCTTCAAAATTTTCTGCTGAAACGGCAGAGAAAAATAAACATTAAATGGCCCATAAACACTGAATAATTGCAGTCCCAGTCAACAATCCCCCAAATAAAATTGGTCACTCACTCCAAGGCTGTTTCTGAGACATTACTGTGCCCAAATTGGCTACCGAGTTCGCCCCAAAACACATAGTCATTGTACATCATGTGACGTGCTTTATGTTCTCCTGACGTGAAAGGCGCTATTCTAAAAATATTAGTTAATACAATAATAATTAAAGGATGCCAATTTTTCCAGAAATCTGATGGGAGGAACAGCAATCTTCTCTAAATTATATGGAATGAAATGTCAGAAAGGGCCCCCATTCGTTAAGTCAAAGGCAGGTTTAGGACACACAGCCTCATCCTCCTATTCTGAATTCCTATCATGGTCTTAGCCATTTCTGAAATTCTTACAAGACAAGGTTATCTTGAGACTACGTTTGTATTACATGTCCTGAAAACAACACGAACACAAGGCCAGCACTCTAGGACATTGACGTAAATAAGGGTTGGTGGTTGAGAGGGTATGGCTTATCTGGCCACAGTTTCAATCCCAAAGTGAATTAAAAAAAATAATACATGACTTGTAGAGCAGCTGAAGAAAACTGAATTTGATCATGGATGATACTTGCTTTGGGAAACTGTGAAAGATTACACAAGACTTCAAGGTCAACTTGCATAGCTTCAGGAAACAGCACACGATTTTTAACCACGACAACAACAACAACAACAACAAGATTCCATTTATAAAGCGCCTTTCACGTCAGGAGGACGTCCCAAGGCGCTGCACAGTTGGGTCATGACCCGAGCAGGGGGGAAATGGTCAGGGGAGGGGAGGGAGCGAGGAGGGGGGAAATGGTCAGGGTGAGGGGAGGGATGGGAGGGAGCGAGAAGGGGGAAGAGAGTCGAGAGGGGAGCTGAAGGCTCGGTCAAAGAGAAAGGTTTTGAGACCGGCCTTGAAGGAGGAGAGGGAGGAGGCGGCGAAGGCACTGGGGGATAGAGTTCCAGAGCCTCGGGGCTGAGAGGCTGAAGGCCCGACCACCAATGGTAGGGCGATTGGGGCGGGGGACGTGGAGCAGACCGGAGCCGGAGGAACGGAGGGTACGGGCAGGTAGGTAGGGGGATAGTAGGTTGGAGAGGTAGGAGGGAGCAAGGCCGTGAATGGCCTTGTAGGTGAGGATGAGGATCTTGAAATCAATCCTCTGGGGGATGGGGAGCCAGTGGAGGCGAGCGAGGGTGGGAGTGATGTGGTCCCGAAGCCTGGTGCGGGACAGTACACGAGCTGCAGAGTTCTGAATGACCTGCAGCTTGTGGAGGGAGGTGGCGGGAAGGCCGGCGAGGAGAGAGTTCCCATAGTCCAGCCTTGAGGTGACAAAGGCGTGAACCAGGGTTTCAGCAGCGTGAGGGGTGAGGTAATGCCGTAGTCTGGCGATGTTCCGGAGGTGATGGAAGGCGGTGCCAGTTGTGGTGCGGATGTGAGGGAGAAAGGACAGCTCAGGGTCGAACAAAACGCCGAGGTTCCTGACTGGCTTTGAGAGGTGGAGAGTGCAGCCTTGGATGCTGATGGTGTCAGCGCCTGAGGTGCGGAGGCGCTGACGTGAGCCAATCAGGAGGGCCTCGGTTTTTCGCACGTTGAGCTGAAGAAAGTTGTCTCTCGTCCAGGACTCGATGTCGGACAGGCAGCTGTCAGGACATCGGTGGTCGTGGAGTTGAGAGTAGAGGAGGAAAGGTAGAGTTGGGTGTCATCCGCATACATGTGGAAGTTAACCCCATGTCTGCGGATGATGTCACCAAGGGGGAGCATATAGAGGGTGAAGAGGAGGGGACCGAGGACAGAGCCCTGAGGGACACCACATGAGACAGTACGGGGGGTGGAGGAGAAGCCATTCGTCGAGACAAAGTGAAGACGGTGAGAAAGGTACGACCTAAACCATTCAAGGACAGTGCCTTGAAGGTTGAGGTGGGAGGACAAGCGGTGGAGTAGGATAGCGTGGTCGACCGTATCGAATGCTGCCGATAGGTCGAGGAGGACGAGGAGGCAGAGGGAGCCCTGGTCACAGATGGTCAGGATATCATTGGTGACCTTGACCAGGGCAGTTTCTGTGCTATGGGCAGCACGGAAACCTGACTGAAGGGGTTCGAAAAGAGAATGGGTGGAAAGGAAAGAGCGCAGTTGGGAGGCGACAACTCTTTCCAAGACCTTGGAGAGAAAGGGGAGGTTGGAGATGGGCCGGTAGCTTGATAGCTGCGACGCATCAAGGGAGGGTTTTTTCAGGGTGGGCGTGATGGTGGCAGTTTTTAATGGAATGGGGACAGAGCCAGAGGAGAGGGACAGGTTGATGATGTCAGTGATATGTGGGGCAAGAAAGTGGAGCTGGGAGATAAGGAGTGGAGTGGGGATGGGGTCAAGGGAGCAGGTGGTTGGTTTTAGGGATAGGATGAGTTCAGTGACAGAGGGTGGGGAAACGGGTACGAAAGTGAGTAGGGGAGGATGGGTAGGAGTCGGAGTGTGGGAGGGAGGGGTGGGGGGGTTGGTGGAAGTTGGAGGGGAAGTGACCGCGGAGCGGATTCCCTTGATCTTGGATTCAAGGAAATCCAGCATCTCCTCGCAGTGAAGGTTGGAGGAGATGACCTGCGCGGGGTGGCGGGGGGACGGAGGAGTCGGGTTGTGGTGGAAAACAGTAGCCTGGGGTTGTTCTTCGCCTCCAGGATTATCCTGGAGTAGAAGGACGACTTGGCCGAGGCTAGAGTGGAGCGGTAAATTTTGAGGAGGTCCAGCCAGATTTGTCGGTGGACCGTTAGGCCAGATTTGACACAGGTGCGTTCAGCAGCCCGCACCTGGCTTTTCAGTGAGCGGAGGTGGGTGGTGTACCAGGGGGAGGAGCGGGAGTAGGAGACAGTGCGGGAAGTGATGGGGGCAAGAGTATCGAGTGTGGAGGAGAGGGTATTGTGGAGGAGGGAGAGAGGAGAAGAGGGGTCGGTGAGGGTTGAAGGCCAGAGGGAGAGGAGTTCAGAGGACTCCAAGGCATCGGTTAGGGATTGTGGGGGTAACTTCTTCCAAGGGCGGTAGAAGATGGTGGTGGGTCTGGTGGAGGTGGGGAGGGGGTGGAGGTGGTGAAGGAGATGAAGTAGTGGTCAGAGATGGCCTTGTCGGTAATAGTGACATCCGAGACACTGAGGCCCCGGGTGATCACCAAATCGAGTGGGTGGCCGTGACTGTGAGTGGGGGAGTTTATGTGTAAGGAGAGGTTGAGTGAGGAGAGCAGGGAAGAGAAGTCTGTGGAGATGGAGCAGGAGGGGGTGAAGTGTAGGTTAAAGTCGCCCAGGATGATGAGGCGATCAGAGCAGAGGCAAAGAGATGTGAGGAGTGTTGAAATGTCAGAGATGAAGGTGGGAGAGGTTTTAGGGGGCCGGTAGAGGAGGAGGATTTTAAGGGAGAGGAATGAGGGGTGGGAGAGGGTGAGGTGCTCAAAGGAGGGGAAAGAGCCAGTGGAGTAGGGGATAGGGCAAGTGGTGTCCTTGAGATAAGGGCAACACCACCGCCACGGCGGTTGGGGCGGGGGATGTGGTGGGAGGTGTAGCCGGGTGGCGTGGCCTCCGTGAGGGGGAAGGGGGAAGGAACAACAACAAGATTTCATTTATAGAGCGCCTTTCACGTCGGGAGGACGTCCCAAGGCGCTGGACAGTTGGGTCGGGACCCGAGCAGGGGGGAAAAGGTCAGGGTGAGGGGAGGGAAGGGGGGGGAAAAGCTCAGGGTGAGGGGAGGGAAGGGAGGGAGCGAGGAGGTGGTAGAGAGTCGAGAGGGGAGCTGAAGGCACGGTCGAAGAGAAAGGTCTTGAGACCGACCTTGAAGGGGGAAGGGAGGAAGCGAGGCAAAGGCACTGGGGGATGGAGTTCCAGAGCCTAGGGGCTGAGAGGCTGAAGGCCCGGCCACCGATGGTAGGGCGGTTGGGGCGGGGCATGTGGAGCAGACCGGAGCCAGAGGAACGGAGGGTACGGGTAAGTAAGTAGGGGGATAGTAGGTCGGAGAGGTAGGAGGGAGCAAGGCTGTGAATAGCCTTGTAGGTGAGGATGAGGATCTTGAATTCGATCCTCTGGGGGATGGGGAGCCAGTGTAGGCGAGCGAGGGTGGGAGTGATGTGGTCTTAGACACTAAGAGTCTGTTGTAGGATTCGAGCTAACTGTGAAGTACAAATCCTTGACAGGAAAAAGTATGGACTACAGCGGAACTTCTCTCTTCAAGTTTGCCACACGTAACCATCACCACTCTACTTTCTACACCAGATTTCTTCGGCAGTAACTTAATTGTTCTCATTGATACAAAAAAGGGCCTCCAGACCATAGATTTTTGATTCTTCAGCATTGATTGTTTAATTCTCCATACAAACAAAAAAACAGATCTGTAAGCTTTTTTTGTGTGTGGGGGGGGGGGATAATCAGACACATGTCTAACACCTGGGGAAACTCATCAACATACTTAAGAGCATTTAAAACAAACCACCTACATGCCAACTACACGTGGAAATGTTCTTGTGCCTGGAATAGAATACACACTTCCTCCCTGGATGGACAAACCCTGCTCATCTAATTCTAAAGAATATTGGGGACAGGTTGGCGAGAACCAACGCTTGAGGTCCCCAGAAAGTGCTTTGCCGTAATGCTGGAGTTGAATCAATTAGAAACCACATATCTAAACGTTGAGAGCACCGTCGTGCAAGCTCTCTGCTGCTTGTGCAGCAAGGACTACCCTATTTGTTAGGCTTTAACTTGCAGGATTAGCAGGTGTCAAGTGGGAAGAATCCCTACTTCCAGTAACTGCTTGTCCAAATCCTGTTAGTTGGAACCAGACCTGATATCATTTGTTGCTGACAACGGACTCCCATAGCATAGTGGCTTGCGCATTCGCCTCGCAAGTGCCTCGCAAGTTCGATTCCCGGGTGAGGGAAACCTTAGGCAAATTTCCGTACTCCACACTCCTCTGTTTACCTA